CCCTTTTTTAAGATAACACTGATCTCCTGTTGAGGAATTGCCACTCCCCTGCTTTGTGTGGCTTGGGGGGATTGTAAATTCAGAGCCTCCTTTACCACTAGGGAAGCCAGTGAGCTCGCTGGAGCCTCCTTACATCAGATCCTTCCTCACTCTGCTCCATACAGCAGTTGTATGGGCTTGTGTGTCACCAAGCTCAGCCAACCACTCCCTCGCGGGACTTGATCCCGAGTACCTTACGGACATGAAGCCATTTTTTAAAGTATCTGATATACCTTCTGCTTTTCTAGGTGTGGCTCTTTATCTCTCCTTCCCTGAGGGTGATAGGTTTACTCCCTCCCCCTTCTCTTTCCTCCTGCACTCTGGCCTGAGGGTAAGGGTGCGGAGGAGCGAAGACTAAGATTCCCATTTAAAGTGTTTCATTTTCTCCTGAAAACCTCTGTCTCTGGGTGTAATGATCTTATCAGTATTCCCTCTCCCCTCAGAATAATTTGCTTAACCATATTTATCTTGACCTGACAAGGGCTACTAGCTACTGGCATAGTGGGAAGGGGTGGAGGTTGATAACGGTGGCAAGAAAAGGAAAGCAGTTCCAGATCTCAGGTGACTTCCACAAGTAAATACTTGTTATAGAAGCAAGAGCAGTGGAAAAATTGGACTAATTCATTAGCGTGATAGTGCCTGGGAGAAACTGTCAAATTCTTTCTACTACTGAGACACGAGTCACTTTGTTATAGTACCAGACACAGGGTCAGTAGGAAAGTGGGACTTACTGAAATGCTATTGCCTGGGAGAGGCTGTCAGATTGTTCCGGCTGTTGAGACTCTTAAAAAGCTTGCTTCCTCTTGGGTCCAAGCTTGGGATTTCAACCATCCCTTTGATTCTGGGAGCTCCCTCATATCTTTTCAGTGAGTTTCCTCAAGTTACCCAGAGGTGGTTTCTGCTGTTTGAAACTGAAGACTAACTGAATCAACGCTGTACAGTGTCACTTATGAGATAAAATCCTGAAAATTAGTGCTAGGGGAAAATTTGTTTTCCTGGCATTCTATTATGCTTCCCATGAGATAATTTATTCTATTCCTCTTTTTGCTTAGTTGCTAGAAAATTTAGGGCCAGAAATAGTTCATGACTACAGTAGCTATCTTTAAGCTAGGATTTGGGGGGGAAATAATAATGCCTTTTTTTCCTATTAGTACTTCTTTACCTTATTTTGAAGTTTTTTACCTTATTTTAATTTTTAACAAAGATTTGCCTTGTATTCCAGGTTGCACACTTTATGCTTAAATGGATTAATAAATAAAAAACAGAACTTAAAAAAAATAAATCTAATCAAAAATAGAGATGGTATATTTTTATTTCAGGCTATCAAACCATTGCCCCGTTTTCATCTACTCTGCTGCTCTCCTATACATAGCCCCAAAGAATCAACTGTGAAGACATAAACTTTTATTCAATGTAACAAATTAGTCTTTACATTTATCTTATCAGATTTCTTTTAAACCTGATATTTGCATATACATATAGGTATGGAGCTTTAGTGTCAGTAAGCCAGATTACCATGAAAATTTGCAAGATTCGTTTTTCCTCTGATATTTAATGTCATTGGGCCCTTTTCTTTATATTTAAACTCTTCAGTGACACTCACTAGTGATTAATGACCCACTGGCTCGTGCTGCCTTATAACATGAAAGTCACCGAAATACCTTTTCCCCAGAGAGCAATTATTCCATGGAACAATATCCCCTACCTGGTGCATTGAAGTCCCAAAGGCTGGCTGTTAAACTTGCAGTTGTAATTTGTGAAAAAGTCCAGAAAGCCAAGTTTTGAACTGCTGGGGATTTTATGCACAGTTGTTTCATTTTACTAGAGCAACTTGTTTCTTTTCTGCCTTTTCTTGCAAAGATTTTGAATAAGTGGCAAGAATGGCAAAGACCTGATTTAGAGGTTTTCCTATTTAAGTCCAAGGATAGCTACCTGGGAGCTATGTATCTTCTAGTTTTTTGGTTTGTGACACTCTACTGCTGACATGAAAAAAATGCAGAAATTCAGCCCATGTGTACGTGTTCAGATGCTCATCCATTTTGATATCTCAATAGGGTAAGACAATTAGAAAGAGGATGCAGCTCAGACATCAGAGTTACATTTTGAAATAGTGAAGAATGTCAATATGTAATTCTGCATGTAAATCTCTGGTCCATGAAGTAAAGGATGCATCTTATTCCAATACTTCCCTTGTCATCAGAATATTCAGAATATTTGGCTCAGGATAAGTATATAAATAAAGCCAAAATTTTTAGACTTGTAAAATCTAAAGAAGGTCACTAACCTCCTTGAGATATTTGATACTGATGGATACCTTGCCCGCTTTTCCTATCTGCTTATAAAAAATAATAATGCCTGTTTAGTGAATTAGTCAATTAGCAAAATATTACTTTTATGTGACTTTAACTGTTTTGGTGCTATGAAAAGTGCAATTAATATTAGTTCTACACAATAAGTATTTATATTCTCTTTGGGAAAATAAATACACCATATCTGTTAGAGCACAGTGAAGGACCAGAGCATATGATACTGATGAGAACATGTGAATTCACAAAATGGAGACATCATTACAAACTTCCTTAATCATAGAGGATGGAGGACAATGATTTTGAGGTGGGCCTCCAAGTGTGGTTACAGTTTGAATAAAAGAAGAGAGGGAAGAAGGAAGGAAGAGAAAATTATTCAAGACAAAGTTCTGAAGCAGAAATAAGGAGACTTTGTGTAGGAGGATGGATGGAAAATGGCTTCCCTTGAGCTGAGAGTAAAGGTTAAGACTGTCCTAGAAAATTGACTTAGATTAGAAAGACTCAAAATCCCAGAAGAAGTGTTTGGACTAGCTAGTGGCTGTGAATATTGACGGGCCACTGATCTGAGGCCAGAGTGGCAGATGTTGGAGTATAGGCAAGGGAGTCATCCTGAAGCCTCTTTCAGTAATTTAAGCCTGAGGTGATGAAAGCCCTGAGTAGTGAGGTAGCTGTGGGAACCCAGCAGGGGAGGCAAAGATGAAGGGATGATAACTCTTGGGGACAGATGGTACTTAGATGATGAAGGAGCAGAATGAATAAAAGATGACTCCAAAATTTCTAGTCTCATTCAGATGACTAGAAGAATAATAGTATCTGTGAGAGATATGATGCAGTTAGGACTTGATAAATTAATTGTAGTGGCAGACAGTTCAGTGGTAATGCCCTACCAGTAGTTGGAAATGTGACTCAGGTTAACTGCTGAAAGATCGGATATATATCTCCTGAGATATAAATGTTTATATATCTCTTGAGATATAAGTGTTTCTATGACACTATGACACTTGGATGCATGCCATAGAAATTAGTAAACAGGAAACTGGGAAACCTAAACTAATTTCAATTTTAATATAAGTAAAATCAAATTGCCATATTAAGAAATCTCATTTATTCAAACTTAATATCTATTGACCCTGGATAAGTGCCTCAGCCACTTTGCACATCATTCTCCTTATCTGTAAGCTGGGGATAATAACCTTGGCCTTTCCCAGCTCAAAAGAAAGTGTCCACATTTTTATCCTAATTATGCTTTATATTTATTTTTAAAACTCCCCGATTAGTCAATTAGCCAATAGGTAAAAATCTTTTTCTTTTTTTGTATTTGTATTTTGTTCTTAACTCTTAGTGATATAAAGATACGTACATAAGATATAAACTATATATGGCAGTTTCTGACTACTATGCACGTCTGTGCTGGTTACTTCCTGATAGCTACCTCAACTAGCCAGCTAAGGGGCTTACACTCAGGGTTATTGTAAAGTATACCACTTCCCTTACCCAACTGATGGGGAACATGATCCAGTTGATGTCTAACAAGTCCAGTGCAACCCCCCACAGCTGCCTAACGCCGATTCCTTCTGCTTCTCCCATTCTAGACGCCCATGGGGGGGCAGTGGGTCATGGCTGCCCTGACAGCTGAGTGAGGAGAGCAGAGGTCTGAAAAGAGTGCCCTGTGTCCCAGACGCCATCAGGGTGTTAGCAACCAGAGTATTCCACAGATCTCCTGCTACAACAGAGAGGAAGTAGAAAGGAAAGAGGAGAAGGAAGAAGCAAAGAGTAAAGTTGAGAAGGAGAATAAATCACGGGAAAAGGAGAAAAAGTTAAGTCCTTTTCAATCATCAGCAAGTGGTCTAGAGCCCCTCTTTATCACTTTAACCCTTCACTGCTATTTCTCAGCCTCTAACCCCTGATACTTGAATTCTTCTGTGTCTTCTCTACCCACTACCTGGAGTCCTTGCTTTCCAGAATCTTTAGGTCCAGAGTATTGAAAACAGTGCCGCTAGTCTAGAGTTGGGGTCAGTCTGGTTTATCATCATCTATCAACATCTAGCAGGACATAGAAGGGATGGAACAGTAAGAAATGAGAGAGTTTTCTGCCTTTGCACTGTTGTGCCATCACAATAGTGATGTTCTCGAAATTCACTATTATAAAAAGAAATTGATGTCACTGAAAAGGTAAAGATTTTATTGTCCGTTTCCTCTCCTTTCACTATACATAATACATTTTCAAAGATTTCTTAGCATTTACGCCTTGAGAATTCTAATTTCCATTGTTCTGTTCATCATGTCTTTATCATATTTTTTAATCTCTAGGTGAGATCCAGTCATTGGTATTTTCTGATTTCTTGGTTTCTTTAATGAAATATTTTAGAACTTCCCTACAATTTCGTATGAAAGAAAGCACTGAACAAAATTTTTAAAAAAAATTCTTATCCCAACTCTGCCTCAGGAGCCTTGGGCACATCACATTGATTTCAGTCTTTTTAAGTGTATGTCATCTCTGAAATTCAGTTCCCTCGATGTAAACTTGAGATGATAATATTTATCTCACTGGGGTCTTGTGACCTTTACATTAGGTAATGTAATTAGAGCATTTGGTAAGTATTAGTATTTGGTGATAGCTTTAAGTACTATCTTTTATTAGTCTTTAATGAGAATCACAAATGTTTTGCAATATGGGATGACATCAGTAATAGTTTGCATAATGGAATTAAGTAACCAACTCGTATTGTGAATTAAACATTTTTGAATTCAGAAACTATTGATTTTATAAAGATTTAAACATCTCTTTCAAATAGAGAAAAAGGTTGCATTTTAAGGCAAAGGAAAGTTGGATAAAAATAATGTTAACAGATGTCTAGAGCTTCAAGCAAGTAGATAGACACCCCTACCCCTGTGTTCTTGGAAGATAAGGCAGTCCTGGTCCACTCACAGTTTGCCACTGGCAGAATTTTCCTCTCCCAGTTGGCATCTGCTCTGTATTTAAGCAGCATTTTAGTCCCATCATCAAGGCAGTGTCCGGAAAACAGGTATGTAGAGAATCATCCAGGTGCCTACTTTCACAGGTAAAACAGAAAACAAGCATTGAAGATGGTCTTAATCTATTGCAAATAAACTTATAAATTTATTTTTAATTTAGCTTTAGTTTTTATTGATTATTAGAATCATGAAGATTAAAATAGAAATTTTAAAATTTTAATTATAACAAAAATAATCCAGTAGTTTTAAGGATTTATAACTCGTATATTATAAACACATCTCTTTTCTTTCACTATATATTAATGCATTTAGGCACTAAGTTCATTTTATTCATAGCAAAATTATAAAATGCATTTGTATTCAATTAACATTTAAGTAAATATTTTAATAATGGGGCAATATAATGTATGTATATTTTCCATTTTAAGAAATTTTGCCTCCGTTTTGCTAAACCTCTGAACTTCCTACAGGCATTTCCATATTTAATCAGTGAAATGTACAATTGTATGTTTACGCATCTGAAAATTAGTGATATTTTTCTCTATTCATTCACATTCTGAGGGAAACAATCATGTTTAGTGTTGTGATTTCTATCATAAAGATACCGTACAGATCGTTCACAAACATTCTGCTATATTCTCTGGCACCAGCAGCCTTCAATGGAAAAGATTAAATTTCCTCTATTCCAGAGTTTGGCACATAGAATTCTTTTTATAAAATATTTTTTTAATTTCAGAGGCTTGGTCTTTACTACATTTAGAGATAACATCAAAAGTATCTAAACACTGGAGTAAGGCTGAGTTAGTCAAAAATCAGCTTGGCTTCCAGGGCAAGTTATTTCATTTCCCTTTGCCATTTCTGTGAAATAGGGGCTAATCAGGCCTTTCTTTCTAGGCTGTTAGGAGCAATCGATGAAGCAACTCACTGAAGGCAACGCAAGACCTAGTAAAACTGTTAAGCACCCCCATCATGCTTGGCACTGGCCCGGGAGCAGGAGGTTAAGGGCATGAGCGTGTGTACATGCAGCACACACACACACACACACACACACACACACACACCCCACTGTTTCCTTCTTAGGGCTGAAAGATGCAATGGCACTGTTCTGAAAAGCCTCTATTTATTGTCTTCTAATGAAACCACAGTTTATAAATACAAGCTGGGTGTGTACTAACACAAAATGCAATACAGTTCAGTTCATATTCTCTTTGGACCTCGGGTGTGCTTCTCTGTCAGTCACAACTTTAACTGCAGACGCTCAAGAGAGCGTAGCAGGGACAAGGTTTACTGTCTACCCTGGACTGCACAGCTGCAAGGAGGCATCCTCTCAGCCTTCTATCAGCTGGTTTATAACAATCTCCACTCGGGTCTCACTTAGAAGAGCGCAGATCCAAGGGAAAGTCATTCTGTTTGTGACACTTCCGAAAACATTAAATTGAACATTAGAGCAAGTTTTAAAGGGAAAAGAAATCTTAGAAGCACAGCTTGAATGCATCTTTGCTATGCTGCTTTGGGATTATTGGCAGCCTGCCAGGAAACACCTTACACGCTCATAAGAGAGGCCTTCTTAGACTTTTTAAAAATAGCTTCATCTATAACTGAAATAAGACAATACGGGACTGACACTTTGACCCCTTCAGAGATAAGCACTGAGTGGGGGAAGCTGAGCTTAGTATGTGGTCACACCAGAAATACCAAAGTTAATTTAGGGAACTTAGAGTTTATGACAAAAATATATTTATAGTGGTATAATCTTTACATTTTGATACTTTCTGGCATTTGTTTTACCATGCTGAAAAGAGTCTGGTTTTAATGAAACACCAGAGCAATGGTCCTTTACAGATGAAAAGAGAAGCAAGTGATACTGTCTTCAGAAGAAACCTTAGTCTCTCAGGGATTCAGGAATGAAGATATACTACAAGACTTGCTTACAGCGGTCAGTGCAAGGCTCTGAACTTACCCCACCAATCTGTATGGTCATGTGGTCCACCAGAGCCTGGCGCTGACAACACAGGGATTGCTTGCTGAGGCAGCAGGATTATTTTTAAGTATTATTTAATGGTCTTGAGTCCGTTGTTGAAAAAAAAGCAAGCAAATGAGAGAAGATTCCTCTTTTCTTTCCTAAGTAAGGCAATACATATGTGTAGGCTCTGACCAGATCACCAAGACCTGATGCAGCACAGCTAAGCCTCTGGAATAAAGTTCCACTTCTCAGCTGACTGCTCTGGCACCACACAAAGGCTACTTTAGGGAGAAAGAGAAGGCAGCAAATTCTGTAATATCCATCCAAGAGTCTTAATTTCTGAAAGTCCTGTACAATACTTGGTGAAGAAAATCAGTCACTGAATGAATGGGTCAGCCCAGTAGTCCCTACTATTCAGTGACCCCTAGCAACACTAACTGAAAGCACAACGTGTACGTAAACACAGGACACATGGCGTCACTGTGGCCAGCACTGTGGGTCATTGAGAAGAAGGCCGCTAGGGTGAGACTGGACTCTGCCACCTATGTGCCTTTCTAAGAGGCTTCACATTTGCACAGCTCCCTAAGGGAGTTGTCTGATCCTCATAACTGAGAAGTGTAGAAAGCTTATTTAGTCATCACAGCAGAAGTGGTGTAAAGCAAATGTATTAATCTGGTTCACAGTAAACTCTGGACAAGCCAGAATGACAATTATCTATTTACAGCAAGAAATACAGTTGTATTGGAAATTGAAAACCTTGCCCATGTGACCATTTTCTGTATTTGGGAGACTGGCGTGGGGATCCCAACCAAAACTCGAAGTGATAAGCACAATATCAGAACAGAGAGAATTACATAGGCAGCATATCTTGGTCATAAGCTCAGAAGCTTGCTAAAAATATAGATTATCTAGCCATACTCTGGAGATTATGAGTGGGGCATGGGAATTGTACTTTAAAAGCAACCCAGACAATTCTTTGGCACCACTGTGCATGTTGAATGATGTAGAGATCATCCAGTATGCACTGGGATCAGTCTAGGACAATCAAATGAGTTGACCTCCACATCAAACATATAACAGCCTCCTGGCGAAACAGTTCATAACCTTATCTCCTGTCCCTTGGATGTAGGTAAATGAGCACTGCCCGTGTGAAGTTCCTTCTCAAAATGCCTATGGCTGAATAACTGCTTTTTTAACCAACACCTTCTTTGTTTACATAAATTGCTACCGTCATTTGATTTTGTTATCAACTGGGATCTATTCTGTTTCCTCAAAGGCAGATTTCTCAGATAATAGTTATATTCATGAACACTGATTTATTATTTAGAAGATCTAATGTAAAATAGTTTATAAACATTTTCACATTTAATTTTCACAATTGCCTTGATAACTTACTCCTATTTTAGAGATAAAGAAAACTAATTTCAGCAAATTTGTTATTTGCCCAAAGTAAAACTAGTAAAAAAAATATGGTGAAGCTGGAAATCAAATATATTTTGGGTTAACTTAAATCCCAATGCCATAACCACTAGGCATATTGCCTTGTGCATTGGTTTTTATAGTTCAGCTCACAAAGGACATTGTTAATTCCAAGCACTTGTTGTCCTGTTTTCTTTCTCTTTATGTATTACCTCTCATAGACTTGATACCTGATTGTCTAACAATGTATTTGTCTGGTCCAGACAAAGGATTCTGGAATTTTATGTATTTATTTATTTTGTCCATTTCTTCATTCTATTCATAGGCTCAATGAGAAAATATTTCAGTTTTATCAACAAGTGCACATTAATTTTAATAGAATATTGGAAAATGTCTAATATCAGGGGAAAACTTTTAAATGATTGGTTTTAGAATGGAGATTAAATAATACGTGATAATTTTTATTAGGAGAATATATACACATATGATGATGGAATAGGAAGTGGCTAATAAATATTGAAGAAAATATGTTCTTAATTCACCATAAGGTTCTTTAAAAACATATAAATTTCTTAATTTTGAAATTCTGGAGGTCAGAATACCTCCCTCCTCATTTTTTTCCCTTCCCTTCTTCACCCATGGTAGTAAGATAAGATTAGGGCAGGGGATATCTTTGGTAAAAGAGATGGACAACACCAGCGCAGGCAAAGTTTGTTTGGCTTTTGTGATGCTTCAACGGGAAATATATGAAATATTTAAAATCTCTCTAGCAAAGAAAAGTAAGTCACTCCTACATCCCTTCAGGGTCTGCATTATTGGAAGGACATTTCTCCTAAGTCATGAGCTAGGGGACTTGACAGAGAATTGCAAAATGTTGAGAAAATAGTGAGGAGAAGAGAGAAGACAGTAGGAGACTATGGACACAAGATTTCAGAACATTGGAAAAATCCTAATTGGGCTAAAAATTAGCTCAATAGGAAAAGGAAATAAATGTTTGGCACCATTGGACAGCCTCTAGACTTCAGTAGCATTCTGTGTCATCTAAAATGACTGTTCTCTTTCAAGAAGACTATACCTAAATGTCCTGCTGGATGATGAAGATATAATGAAGAAATTAGCTTATTCACATTTTCTTCTAACAACTTGTCCAGCAATTAAAGTCCCTAAAACTCAAATTCTGCCAAGTCCTCACCTTTACTGTTGCAAAAAGCATCAATGTAATTGGCAAATGTTCATTCATCTCCTGCCTAATTTCACACTTGATTCTTCCTCCCAATTTGATTTGAAAATGGTTCAACTTTTATTCACTCAACAAACTTTTATTGAATAACTACTATCATCTAGACACAGTTACATAGTGATCAATCTGCCTGTGGATTAAAGCTTTACCAGTTTTTGTTATTTTTATGAGTTCCTAACAAATAAGTTCCCAGGCTGTTTAATATTTCTATACTTTCACTCAGGGTCTCTCTTCTTGCTGTCATGTCTTACTACATTGGTACAAAAATTAAACATCTTCTTTATATTTTAAAACTCAGGCCAAAGTTTTCCTAATCTCTTAAGACTTCCTTGACCCTTCCCATCCCTCTGGAATACTGGACACCAATTCCTTTTTGCTCTGATTAAGCCCTTCTCTATTTCTATAATACCTAGGTTATATATCTTTAAAATATTCATAAAAGACATCATATT